TGAAGGTGTTAGAAGCCAGGTGAGAGTGTATTTGTTCTTTGGCCCAACTTTTGATTTAGTCTACAGGTTTGGGTTTGAAGACTATATTAAATGGTTTCTTGTGAATTAAGAGTAGGGCCTGGATTTGGATTCTGCAAGAAATCCTAAGGAAGTGACCCAGTTCTAGGAGTTTCTGAGATCCTGGCTCATATTAGGTTATTTTGCTTTTATTTTAACAAGAAGAGCAACTCAGTTGTGGCATCCTTCGGTTGGATGGTTCCTTCGTTGATCTGGGAATTAAGATTCCATTGCTGAAATGATCTGATTTTTATGAGTTGGAGAACATAGAACCAGAGTCTATCTCATGAAAGGAAGAGAGAATGAATCCTGATCCACCAAAATTTTCTTGTAAGGGGAAAGCTTCGACAGGAAATTGTGTAGGTCCCATGTTGGTGGAGCAATTGCCACAATAATTTTCTCTGTGGCAATTCAAGAATGCCACCGAGCAGTAATGGTACAATCTTCAAAGAGGAGATCGCTCTTGAAGTAGGAGGCAACACCCAGCAACTTGACTACTGTAATTTAAAAAAATATGTAAGAGTCGGATCTGGTTGTAAGTTGGGAAATTACCAGAAAATCCTGAAGTTCTAGAATGGACAGAGAAATTAAAAAAACCAAACATATCTCAGAAGCAGGAGCTTCTGTATTACCAAAGAATCCTGCACGAATATGACTATATTGTCAGTTGGAATTGAGCAATTGAATTTGTTTCAAGGAAGTCGTAATATTTACTTACTACCAACAACATGCTGTAGCAAAACATATTTCGGATCCCAAGAAGGCAGATGCTGTATAATACTAGCATAAAGTAGATAGCACTTCTTAAAAGGATAGTGGTAAATTATTATTTTTAGTAACTATTTTCTTTGATTATGTTGCTTCTGATTTGACTCTCTTCTTGGGGGTTATGTATTAATTTACAGAAAGCTGTTGGGCTGGTTATTTTGGTGGCCCCTATGGCTGTGTATGATGAAGATCTCTTGAGGAACCCCTTCTATTTAACCATGCAGAAACGACGGCCTGATCTCTGTAGGAAAGTTGCCGAATTCCATGGAACGGTAAGTAAATTATAACGGCTGCCAGGATTGTCTTCTAGAAGGGCCAAGAGTGAGCATAGGATTCAGCTAGGTTAGTGTTTCTCAACTTTTGCCACTTTAAGATGTGTGAACTTAATAATAATAATAATAATAATAATAGTAATAATAGTAATAGTAATAGTAATAGTAATAGTAGTAATAATAATAATAATAATAATAATAAAGTTGGAAGGGACCTTGGAGGTCATCGAGTCCAACCCCCTGCTCAGGCAGGAAACCCTACACCATTTCGGACAAATGGCTGTCCAGTCTCTTCTTAAAAACTTCCAGTGTTGGAGCATTCACCGCTTCTGGAGGCAGGTTGTTCCACTGGTTAATTGTTCTAACTGTCAGGAATTTTCTCCTTAGTTCTAGGTTGCTTCTCTCCTTGCTTAGTTTCCACCTGTTGCTTCTTGTCCTGCCTTCAGGCGCTTTGGAGAATAGCTTGACTCCCTCTTCTTTGGGGCAGCCCCTGAGATACTGGAAGACTGCTATCATGTCCCCCCTCGTCCTTCTCTTCGTTAAACTAGACATACCCAATTCCAGCAGCCTTTCCTTATATGTTTTAGCCTCCAGTCCCCTGACCAAACAGACAAGCTTATTTAAAATAGTTATGTACCACTTCCCATGATAATGTCAAAAGGATACTTTTATGTCTGATCTCCCTGGTGAAGGAACTGGGTAGGTGACACTGTATGTAACTGAGGTATCACAGGGCTGTTGAACATAGCTTCTACGATGGGAATAATTTGAGAAGTTTTTTTAGCAACTCCCATATGGAGCAACTAAAAGACTCTCAGATTAATTCAGTACAGTATAATCTAACCTGTGTTCAATCTTGGCAGTTTGAAGACGTGTGGACTTCAAGTCCCAGAATTCCCTAGCCTAACTCACCACTCTGGGAGTTGAAGT